CTATTTCTAATAGTAATAATAGCAATTATTTAAATTAGATATATATAGAAAATAGGAAATATAGTGTCATATCTGATAACTTTTAGAGAAACATGAATACAAATAGAAAAACTTTAGTTATAAATAGTATCATCTTAATACTTAAATTGTACTAAAATTATTTTTTCCATACTGACATTATAATAAAAAAAAAAAATAAAAAAAATAAAAAAAGTATATATTAAGAGTAGGGTATATATTAATCATTTTTCATATTATATAGATAGTATAATAGATTTTTATATAGTAAATTAAAATATATTACTAGTAAACCTTTTTTATTATTTAATTTTTTTTTTTTTTTTTTTTTTTTTTTTACTTTATACAAATGCCATTGACTAAATTTTTATTAATTTCATAAATTTTAGAAGTAATATATATTGTGAGAATATAACTAGCTATATGTACAATTTTAGATTGTCTATTTTAAGTAGTCTGTCTGAAGGTTCTATACTAGCTGCTATACCTGAAATCTCTTAGAAGATTTTCTATTTAAACTCTTTGGCCTTATCACACTTGCTACAAATATTACTCTTTATAGTTTAACTATAACCTTATGCTACTTTACTTTAGAAGGTATTCAAGCTAACATTAGTCACAAACTTTATTGTAATAGGTCTAGGTCTTACTTGAATAAGTCTCACTTCAATGCCCTCTAACAAATAGGTGTTATAATACTCAACTATGCTACACTATATCCTAATTTAGCTTGTATATACCCTTATTCGATATTCATATAAACCTGGTTCCAGCTATAGCCTTTCACTAGTTTAGACTTCTGAATGTTTTATGAGTAGATTCTCCCAATCTAGTTAGCTGCTCAAGCCAAGTTGGTGTTATTACTAAATACAAGGCACTACGCTACATTACACTGCAGACTTACTTGTATCTATTCGATTTGTACTCAGAAATCCTTACTAGATTAAGTGTTAATTAGCATAACTGTTAAAATTTGTACTACTTTATCTAACTCAGGATTTCTACTATGCAGATCCTTTGCCTATAGATCCTATCTCAATTTATTCTTGTAATGCAACTCCAACATTCCATTATATTTCTAATATCTGAACAATATTAGTACAACATGATTTATAGGGTTACTACTCCAGAAATGAACAGAGTTTACTGTAAGTTAGATACAGATATCTAGATAATTATTTAATTCTGTCGACAGTAGAATTTGAACTCTAGATTTTTTGCATAGCAGTTTGACAATCTATTCACTACACTAGATTACCAGACCTTTAATTATTTAATTAATTTTTATAAAAATTTAATAATATATAGATTTAAATAAGTAATTTATTATATTAAAATTTTATAAGATATTTAATTTTAAAAAATTATATTTGTATATATCTTGAATTTTCTCTAAACACTCTATGTTTTTCTCTAGTTATACAAAGAAGTCAACTTTAATTAGCTAATTTCTAAAAGTTATAAGAGAATTTTAATAGTAAATTTTTATATTGAATCTTTAAAAATTTATATATTAATGAGTTTTAAACTAACTTTAATAATTTTACTACTGTTAGAAACACAAGAATCCACTTTATAAGTTTATTTAGAAGTTTAAAAATAATTAATTAGTAAAATTTTTTATAATTTGAATTATAAAAAAAATATACTATTAAGTTTATATATAATTTTAAATATTACATCTTACCTTTTAATGTATAATAGTATTTTATTATATTTTATATATAATTCTTGTGCTGTGAAAATTTGTATAAAAAGGTTGCTTTTCTGCTTTGCTAAAAATTCAGACAAATTCCTTTCTGTTCTTTAATAAACAAATACAATATTAATATCCTCATATATTAATAATTGTTCCTAATTGTCTTAAGTATCTTTATAAACTTATAAAGATGCAATTAGTAGTGTCTTCATATATTATTAATTGTCTACTGCTTCTTTTACCAAGCCTTACTCCAATCCCTTTAGTTAAGTCTTTTTAGATGCTATAAACATCCAAGTTATATAAGGATTAGTCTTTAAACTAGTCTCAGCTAGTCCTTAGAAATTCTATAAAAGGTGAATTCCCAGTGTTAACAATAGTAAATAATTTGTAAATTTCTACATTTTTATATACAATATCTAATTTTTTTGCATACTAATTTTTTCTTATAGCTATCTGATAAGTATAAAAAACATGTCATCAATGAGGTTACAATTCTAAATTTTAGATACATAATTTAACTATGAATTACTAATAATAAACTATAATTTTTAAACTTTCAAGTTTGAACATTTTTTAAAAGTATACCTGTTCCTGGTTTTAGCGCGACTACGTCGCGCAGCTACCTTATTACTAAACCAATGACTTGAATGACAACCCAATCCATAAATACCCGAACGTCTCAATAACTAATGATAGCGCTTCTTTCTACAGCTTAGCACAGTTGTTTTATTTATTTTTATTTGCTTTTTATCTCGTATATGTACTAGAAAATCTTTTAAATGTTAAACATTTTATTTAAAAAGGGCCCAAAGAACTAAATTGGCCATTATGGCTTGAATAAATTTATAATATCTCTGAACATAATAAATTTTAAATTCAGCACTATGATGTAACTAGATGTCTCTGCACTATCTAATAAAATCTCAAGTGACAAAGAGCTCGTATTAATATTATAAAAAAAAATGAAATAAAATATTTAGAAATTATAAAAAAATATGAAGAATAGTAATAAATATTAATCTGTAATATATAAAACTTTTAACAATAGATATTGATATGTAGTCAATTTAAAAAACAACTATATGAAGTACATGTATCTTCTTGTCTAAGCTTTATCATTTACAATTTTTCCTGGAAATCATGTGTAACTTTGGCCACACATTCAAAAGAATTTTTTATTTCGCTCATATGCTTTGCATGAACACCTGTAAATACGTTAAAATACATTCTCGGTACTCTTGGAATCTGCCTTTTCTCGAGTTCGAAGTCAGATCTTTTATCATTTCCACTCACAAGTACGGATTCAGCAAATGTGTCTGCTCTTTTTTTGTATATAACCATTCTTTTTTCCAAGCTATCAATAGCATTTTTCAATTCCTTCATAGCATGATTATGTTCTGATACGAATTTCCTAGCCTCATTAGTATTAAGGCATGCTTAAATAATGAGAGCAATACAAAAAGAAAGAGGTTAATGCGTGTTTCATTTTTTATTTTAGTCAAGTGTAATAACATTTAGTAACTGAAATAATTGAGATGTTCACCTTTTCTTTCATGGTTTTCTTCTAAAGGGGATGCTTGAACAAGGATGGCAATAGATACCAAAAGAACAAAAATGGAAATCAAGAATTTCATAGTGGAAGAGATTTTTAATATGACAAGAAAATAAAGATTTATAGGGTAATAGAAAAAGAGTTTATTTCTTTTGATACTTTTGATGGTTGTTTGACAGGGAAAATAGTAGTCGTATTTATATCTTTTATCAAGAAGTGATCTTGAATTTATTCCCACACAAAATCATTAGAAAAAAAAATCGAGTTATCAATATGAGATTATTTATTATCAACCCGAAGTTGACATGCATCCTGATATAATAACCATAGTAATTTGTACTAAATTAAAGAGATTTGGAATATGACGTATTAGCGTTCTTAAAACGAATCTGTAACAGTAGATTTCATGTAAATCTTTACCTTCAAATTCTTAGAGATTCTTTGAAAAAGAAGACCTCTTACGCGTTTCGAGTTTTTTTTTTTCATTCAAGATAACCCGTAAAATCGTAATAAACAATTATTATTTTTCATGTGTAAGCAAGTTCGTAACAAAAATCAAACTTTATGAATGATTCATTTATCGGAATACTTTGTTTTGGAATTGATTCGAATTCTGAATTAATTAATTACTATATAATTATTTTTTTTTTCGCACCATGTAACTGTAATATATATTTTATAAATATATATATATTTGTATTAAGAATGTGTGTCACTCTTAACTGATCTGACAATAATATCAGATATGGTGTATTGGGTGCGGAGTATACTACATAAATCAAAACTATATGTATTATCATACAAAAATTTATTAATATTATAGCGCTTTGCAAAAAGATGTGAATGATAGCGGAGAATCATTGAGATTATTCAAATTTAAGAATCTATACTATAAATAATATATCATATTATTGCGCTTTGCAAACACTGCAGATCATTTTGTCATGTGAGAATCAGAGATTTTGCGATTTCAAAGAATCTTAAAGATTTTTTAAATATATGTACTTTATAGCGCTTTGCAAAAAGGTGTGACCCCGTGATTTTCTTTATGACGATGTGGGGAAATTTTAAATAAAGAATTTAATAAGAGAACTTAAGAGAATTCTGATAGGGATACTGATTTCAAGTATGATG